CCCAAATTATTAAGCATTTTGGGGTTGCTCTAAGCTAATTAACATAATCTTGTTAACTTCAAACAAAGTAAGTTCTGCACAAGTCCCCCGGTGGAATAGTGGTAAGTTTACGGACTTACAACGCTAAAATTTAGGGTTCGATTCCCAGTGGTTAAATAATAGTTTAACCCACTATCTTATTTATTATTGGATTTAAAAACTGTTGCATCAAATGAAATATTTTTTTTTCTGTCATGTTGCGCATGTTTAAGACATCTTCATAAATGAGAGAAATATTCCATAAACATTGAAAATACCCCCACCCACCCAAGTATGTTTATGTTGCACCTTAGTAAAGGTATTGTCAACCAGATTAGTCGTATTACCTCACCAAACTGCACCACACATCAGATATAAGCTATGGTTAAATACAGGATGTCCGGAAACTATATTAACAAATTTGTTTACCTTTGTTTGTTATCTTCCGGACACTTGCATCAGTGTTCCCAAATTATTTTTCACACTGGAAAGCTTGATATGATGACCATAAAGCTAAGGGCTTGGTTTGAACTTCTTGGGGAACAAACCATTCCACAAATACAGTTTTGCGTACTTCTGCGATATCTCATCATAGTGCAGGCTCCGAATCGGGCTTTTGATGGTTCGATGTGACCCGCCTTTTTTTGAGGGGGGGGGGGGGTCAGTGCTCTACATATGTGCATGCGTGTGTGCAAGAGAACGAGAGAGTAAGTAAATAGTACTAATACTATAAATTACATCAGATGTATATAATCAGCGATATTTAACAATGATGAAAGTTGTATAAAAACCAAAACTTATATCATGAGATTCTAACCTAAAAAAAATTGTCCATTGCCAATCTTTGTCATTATACATTTACTGTTATGATTTGTTGGATAACGGCAATGTACAATCTACTTTTTTTTAGGTTAGAACCTCATAATACAATTTAAATATGAATGCATTATTATATCTTTTTAATTTTTTATTGACACTGTAGGTTCCAGATATGACTGTTTCCCTATGTCATAGCTTTAGTACCACACTACACAAAATTGGTAAGCATTTTGAGGTGGGACAGTGGTTAGTATACGTACTTACAATGGTCATTTTCCATATACCATTACGAGTTAAAGGACACTTTTTCTTTTTTTCTCGTTACACTCAACTTATCTTTCGCCACTACTACAAAATCTCTTCACTCAACAAACTATTTTAAACATAATATTTGATAATTTACGTTAGACTTTAAACATTTTACATTATCGTGGGATTTGTAGGTACTTAAATTCTAAGTCATCGTGTGTAGTGCGTCCATACATAATGATTAATTTGGCAGGGTATGTAGGTGTTTCGAACGACATATTTTATGTATTAAAAGTAATACGTAAAAGTAATTGGTGATGTCAATATGTGTTCACTAGTCAAGTATAACTTTTTTCATTTACCTTGACTTTCAATTATTGATTTTTCATACACTTGTTTTTGAGTGAAATTAAAATTTATTTAGTTGAATATGTCAACCAGTTTCGTTGTAAGTGCTGTGAAACATGGTACTCGGGAAACGTTATCTTTTTAATTTTCCATGAAATGGTGCAAATACATATGATATAAGATACCTCACGGAACTGCTTTGCTCCTCCATGCGGCTGTAGTAGGCGTAAGATACACATTTCGTCAGTTTGGTATTTGTTGACTCACGTGATGAATTTCCGGTATGCGTCACAGCACTTCCTGCTCATGGGGTCTACCTCCTAAACAGTGCTTGCCATTCGCTTAAGCCTGTTTTATTTGTATCAAATTTTTGTAGACATTCAATAAAATATTAATGTATATATATTAATTTTTTTCAAGCAGTGGTATATAACCTATTTGAAATTAAAAAACGATTGCAATGCCTTGTTATATATACCGTACATATATATTGTCAGTGCACTACTTGTGCAATTTTAGACGGAAATTACAGTACTTTGAGCATATATTTTTTTAAGGCAAAAGGTTTAATTCTACATTCATCCATAATAGTCAGTTTTCGATATTTTTTTTATTTGTTTCTCAAGCACAAACCTACACAATGGGCTATCTGTGCTCTGTCCACCGCTGGTATCAAAATCTAATTTTTAGCATTATTAGCACTCAGATTTAACGCTGAACAACCGCAGAGTGGCTTTAAATGTTTTCATTAGGAGAAAAATTCGTTTTAATTGTTTTTATGAAATTTGTGTGTGGCCCTGAATTGAGAGCAATAGTTTTAAAACCTTGTATACTTTTTTTGATTGAAACTAAAGGTAAGAGACGTTGGAGACAACTTTTTTATGTCTGTTTACTAATACTATCCAGATACATCATTAAATGACTGTTGTCCTAGCAATAGGTGTACGTGAGACGAGTGAGTTGGAAAAAATATTTCAGTAGTTTGAATGACGATACATGCACATTCTTTCGTATATGCTTCCCAAAGCGATGGACTGTTTTTGCTAGTGACGTATCAGCCAGCTGGTAGGTTCATTGTGTATCGTCTGGGGCTGGCTGCTGTCACAGGCCACTAGAAAGTTGCCATGGTAACCGTTAGTTAAGATGCAGGCTTTTTCTGCTTGGTGTTTAGTGACTGCGTAGTTTAACAATTGCACGTCGATTATTTGTTGACATCGTCAGCCTTGTGTTTGACCACCGGTAAGACCGGTAGTTATGGGTAGCTTGGTAATGAAAAGTTTAATGGCTTTAACTAGTTACTTAAGAAAATTGTTGTTTGAGTTAAAAAAATTTTAAGCGGTAGTGACTGCTAAGAAAAGTACAGTATGGATATACTATTCTATGTAGACCACTCTTGTATTACACGTAACTCCTACTTTAGAGACTTGGACACAGTTTGCTCTTAATCTTTGTTTTTGTTTATTACAAAAACAAAAAACTGGCAATATCTGAAGTTAAAATATTTGTCTTAGTTAGGTTTATTAAACAGTGACACAGAGAACTTCTCTTTTTCTCTCATGTTATTTTAAACACCTACTAGATTTTGAATACAGTTTAAATCTATTATGCATTTCCAACTATTTTGTTCTTTACATATTTTCTGGGGTATCTATGTAAATATATAGCAAAAAAAGGTTTTCTCTTTTGCTATATGGCTGTTAGGTTGGTTAAAAGATACATTATATGTAATGTTGCATGAAAATACACTGGCCATCAGTGATCATTGATTTGTATATAATCTGTATTCGAATATGGACAATTTTTATTTAAACACAGAGTTTTCAAACAAACTTTTGTAACACTTCATGAACTTTAATTGGTTATCAGTTAAATTTAATTTATATTTTTTCTCCATTGTACAAGTGAATATAAATTGTAAAGATGACATGTTTTACATACATGTGGATCCCTCATAATACTCTTCTTTTATGTCAGCATTACTACTAGTATCATCAAAGGTTTGACTCATCTTACCAAAAACTTATAATTACAGTAGGAATCTTATACATAGTATAGCATGTACCATAACTTCTTGAATAGATTTTTAGCATTTATCAGAGAAGGGTTTTTCTGTTTTTTTTTCCAATTAAAATGCTTGACTTAGATTTCACAAAGTATACAAACAGTGACTAGTATGCATGAAAATCCTAATTCTAACTCAGAATCACTTTCTTGTTTTACAGCATTGTGTTACGGAAAACTGATAATTTTGAAATTTTTTGTGATGGCAACTTGACTAACAAATAGAACAAAACTGTGATAACTGCACTGTAATTCATCAGTCTTAAGATTGAAGTTAATGTAATAAAATTGTATCACAGCCAGTGTACTTACAATGAACTAGTGTAATTATAACTTCTAAATTAACATGACCAAAAATAAGTCATGTTTTTCTCTGGTTGGAATTGTTCATTGGCTAAAACGGAATTATGTTTTCTTGTTTGTTATGCATCATACGTACATAACAAATGTTATAAGATGTAGTATTTCTGATCTAAAAAGCAAATTATACAAATTGGGTATTTAGTTTATAATTACAGAAAAAATAAAAAGCCTAAGTAATCTTTCTTGCCATGATAGATTCAAAGTCTCTGAAAATTAAAACATGTAGAAAGCTTCAAAAGATCCAAAAGGTTATGAGAAGTTCCATTGGGACATAGTTTAATTCTTTTCTTACTGAAGTTTATTATTGGATTAATAAGCGTGTGGGGTTTGATTGGATCCATATGTGTATGTACGTATTTGTGCCATCTAAATTGTTTTATGTCACAATTTTTCTCTTTTTTTCAAATGACTTTACTGAAAAAATATCTTTAAGATTTAAAAGTGAAGCCTTTGTCATTAGTGAGATACTCTGTTTGTTCCATTTTAAAATTATGTGCAGTGGCAGAACACTGCCCATTGAGCCTACCATACAGTTTAGACTGTCTGTATTGTAATTAGTGCATCAACATACTGTGAATAAGTACAATCTGTATGTCGTTTTTCCTACAAGATGTACAAGATCAGTTTTATGCACTTAATTTTTTGCAGAGTTTATTCTCTTTAAGGTAATAATGGATATAAGTTTTATTTGTGGATTTGAACAAAATAAAAGAGAAAGAAAAGCATGTTGTGTATTAAGTCTGCACAGATTTCTGTTTTTACTTCTTAAATTACACATTTTGGGTAGTAAATGCAAAAATATATCGCACTTCTGTAAAATTTGAATTTTTTTTTTTTACATCCCTATACAAAATGAACTTTGCAGGTAATATTAAAACCCAAGAAGTGGTCTTGACTAGACTTCTTCATTGGCTTTATAAAAAAATCACTTAATATGTAAGAAAACTTGAGTTTATCCTTATGATTAGTTAGTCAAATAAGTATGTCTTTTAAAAATTATTAAAAAAGATCAGGTAATGTTAATATTGTTAAAAAATTGATCTTAAACATAATTAGTAGAAAAAGATTTGTTTTTGTTCAGATAGAGATAATATCACAAGTGAGCCATAGTGATTTTATCTTAAATTAAATTCCTCATTTAGATTTGGTAAATATGGGTGGACCATGAAGTTGCCCAGAAGTAAAGTGGGCAGGGTACCAAGAGTTTTATGATTGCTGGGGGCTGCAGAAGTCCTCTTGTAGCTCTGACACTGGAGCCTTTAGGAGTGACAAACACCACCATTCAGGGAACAGCCCAACCACTGCCTCCTCGGAGGCCCCCTCTTCCTTCTGCCTCATCTTCCATTCAGAGTGTCCCACAACGTCGGGCTCCTGTTCCACCCACATCATCTGGAATTGGAACTGCTCTCCAAACACATCCTGCTCCACTAAGACCATGTGCTTCCCACAATCGTTCAAGTTTGTCTGTTTCCAGAAAGGAATTTGTGTTTGGCTCACAAGATCCACTCATCGTAGCTTGGGATATCAAGGAGGAAGTGACACCTTCTGATTGGATTGGGCTGTATATTGTTGGTATGTAGTTTAGAATGTAAATGATTTTCTAACAGATATTGTATTATTGTCTTAGAATTTGTTTTTGTATCTTGGAATGAAAGGTGAATAACGATATTTATTAGCAGAACCGTTAGACAAGATAAAGAATGGAAACTAACAGTTCATATAAAAGCCCCCATATAATAGCATCTAGGCCAATCATGCTTTTACGAATTAAGTGAGCCCCCCAGTGGCACA